TGTGTCTCTCCTTTTGTCTGTCTCTGTTTGTCTGTCCGTGTGTCTGTCTGTCTGTGTGTGTGTGTGTGTTTGACTGAAATGGGTGGGTGGGTGTGTCTGTGTGTCTGTCTTTGTATGTGTTTGAGTGTGTTACAAGTTCCATACAAGTGCGGGGTTGTCCATAAAAGCTGGCGTGCCCATGGACGGTAAATCGTTTGAAGTGCAGTTACATGGTGGACCATCATTGTCCTCCCTCGTCCACTTGAGCATATGAAGCGCCATAGAGCAACGTGCCGGGTCTCCCAGACTTCCGAGGGGAACCTGGCTAGTGCCAGGGGTGGGGCCTCAGTGAAATCGTGTGCACGTTGAACCCTTGAAACGCGAGGTCATGTTCGTACTTAGCCCGTGTACTAGTGTACACCGGGCATTTCACAAAGGCATGCATTTCGCCTTGAACCGCCCTGCAGTCACAAAGCCTGCAGGTGCGTGCTGTGTGCTCACAGCTGTTAGGTTGGTCATGACGTTGATCAATCTCTAACTCCCAACAGCCTGTTACCCGGAAGCGTTGAGTTGACAGTCCTCGCCGAGGCAAGCACTAGTCTGCATAGACGCGTATACAAAAACAATCTATATGGCGGCAGCGGAGACTTGAACTCCGAACACCTAGTATTCGTGATACTTCAGTGTCTGGCCAGTGCACCCCGCCCGGGTAGCTTATATCTCGGCCTACCTGCCGGACATTCCCTACCATGGTCCTGCCGTACTAGGATAATGTCGGTGGGGCCCCGGGGCCCCAGCCCATTAGGTTTGCTACGAACAACCGCCATGTTCGAGACATGTGACGAAACTCGTAACATGTACGAAACTCGGGTCGAATCATTAACGAAATAACAGTTATTGTCAAGAGTAATCGTTGAAGTATTCTAAGGGTTTGCTGCGAACAACCGCCATGTTCGAGACATGTGACGAAACTCATAACATGTACAAAACTCGAGTCGAATCATTAACGAATTAACAGTTATTGTCAAGAGTAATCGTTGAAATATTCTATGGGAAATGTAGCTTGCTACAATGTGTGTGTGTGTACATGTATGTGTGAGACTGTGTGTGTGTGTGACTGTGTGCGTGTATGTGTGTGTGACTGTGTGTGTGAGACTGTGTGTGTGTGTGTGTGTATGTGTGTGAGACTCTGTGTGTGTGTATGTATGTGTGTGTCTCTCTCTCTGTGTGCTTGTATGCGTGTATGTGTGTGTCTCTGTGTGTGTGTGTGTGTCTCTCTCTCTCTCTCTCTGTGTGTGTGTGTGTGTCTCTCTCTCTGTCTGTGTGTGTGCATGTTTTCATGTTACCCCAACTCCACCATGTGCCCCAACAGTGCTGTGATTGTGTGGTTGTCTGTGTGTTTTTGTTACCCCAACATCACCTGCTTGTGTCTGCCTGTCTGCCCTATGGTATAAACATGCCGGTTACCGACCGT